CCAATGCAAGGACTGCTAACCCTAAATGATCCATGACTCTGCCTCTTTAAGCTATACATATATACCGATGCAGCCCCTTGAATCATCCATAAACACTCAACCCCACCAAAACCCTTCCAGGAAGCCTAAACCCCAAACCCTCAAACCCCGAACCCTAAACCCCTAAACCCCTAAACCCTGAAAACCCTGAAAACCCTGCACCCTATAATATGCCCTAAACCCAAATCCCAACCCTAAAACCCTAAAGTTTTAAATCCCCAAACCCCAAACCATAAAGCCCAAAAGCCCTAAACCCTAAAACCCTACTAAAGCCCTAAACCCTAAGGCTTAAAACCCCAAACCCCAAACCCTAAAGCCCTAAAGCCCTAAAAGCCCTAAACCCTAAACCCCAGACTCATGGAGGCAGATACTGGGCATCGCCCTAGAAAGAACCTATGCGGGAACCCTTTTGAAGGCCCAAAGTTCTAGGGCTTGAGGGTTTTTAGGCTTCAGGATTTTAGGGTCTAGGGTAATTTACGGTTTTAGAGTTTGGGATTTAGGATTTTAGGGAAAAGGTTATAGGGGCTTAGGAGAAGAGCATACTGAAAGGCACATGGACCCTTATGGTTATTGGAACAACAAGATGCCAATAGAGAGGCATAATTGAAACAGGGTTTTGTGGCACCGGAAACTCTACTGTAATGATACGACAATGATAATAAGGAGCTGACAGGTACGCAGACGTTACTGAATCCAATATGCCAGTAGATTAATATGCTTTATCCACAAAGAAGCAGCAGGTGCTAATGGAGTAACACACGGAATTTTGACAGCGCCAACACAAGGAATAGCAATAGTATCAGCCCGTAGGTGCCAAACCACTCATTAGGATACTCAGATGTACACCCCAAGCCCTAAATCCAAAACCTAAATTCTAAACCCTAAAGCCAAAACCTAAATTCTTAACCCTAAAGCCAAAACCTAAATTCTAAACTCAAAAGCCAAAACCTCAGCCCTAAACCCTAAAGCCCAAACCCCAAAACCCCAAGCCCTACAGAATCTACACCCTGTGGAAGCCTGGTAGGTGGCGGTATCGACGACTTGCCGGCGTGCCCGCGCATCCGTCAGCTGCTCTAGGACTGCGTTCCACCTTGAGTTTAGGGTTTCAGGTTTAGGCTTTAGAGGTTTAGGGATTCAGGTTTAGGGGTTTAGGGTTTAGGGGTTTAGGGATTTAGAGGTTTAGGGGTTTAGGGTTTAGGGGTTAGGGGTCTAGGGATTAGAATGTAGGGGGGTTTAGAGGGGTGTAGGGATCAGGGATTTAGGGTTTAGGGCTTACCTTGCCTATAGTCTCCATTGTAATCGTTCCTGTTTCGGGTTTACTGTGATTATGGTTGAAAACAAGTATGTGCTTAGGATCCGCAGAGGGAACTAACAAAAGGCATTACAATGGAGACCCTTGGCAGACACCAAAACTTAGTGCCGGACCTATGTAATGTGGGTTTTACTGCCCAGCCCAGAAGGTTAGATGTACTGTTACTAAGTCAAAATAGTAATTCCTAACATAGAAACCCTACATTCCACCATGTAGGTACTTTGGATCCTTTGGACAAGAGCAATGACTTGGATGCGGAGTTAAGACTGGTTTAGTCTCTTGTCTGCCTGTGCTTCACAATGGGTTGATTCCGAATACCGGGATTTCCCTGTGAACAATTGTTACGGGCATGTAAACAGAATATTGGGCATGTCGGGGTGCACTATGATGTCAATGCGAGACACGGGTTTCTGAGCTAGGGCACAAAACCCTGTCAAGACCAAACCCGAAACCCGAAACCCTAAACCCTAAACCCCAAACCCGAAACCCTAAACCCGAAACCCTAAACCCGAAACCCTAAACCCTAAACCCTTAAACCCTAAACCCCAAACCCAAACCCCTAACCCCTAAA